GAAACGGTTGAAGATTGTAATAACATATTTGGCTTGCAAAACTATCGCTATTATACACTGTACAGCAAAAAAGGAATGCGATATCACAGCCACACCATATCCTCGCTCCCTCACACTGGTATTGTGCAATTGTGCTGCTGGCACAGCAGATATCCGTGCTATGGTTGCTTGAAACACGCAAAAACTAAAAGGACCCAGGGACTCGGCTCAAGTCAGCGGGTCTCACAATCGAGCGTAGTGTACACGTGGGAAACTATTGCTCGCTCCTAGCAGCATCACCTCAGCCGCAACAACGGCAGGGAAACCGAGCACTCGTTGAACCGCTCGGTCTGCTCCTGGGAGCTGGCGGTTGCTGCTGCGGAGTTGACACCCCAGAGGGTGGCCATGGCCCATCCCGCCATGCTTCCCAGCCGTCCGCTTCTCCGCGGCTTCCTGCCAGCGGCGTTGCGCTCCTGCTGTTGCGCTGTATCGTCCGCGCCGTTTCCCGCAGCGCCTTCCGTGTGCGCGCGGTTCCCGTTAACACAGCTGACCGACCTATCCTCGTTAGTAGCCGCGGCGCTATCGTCGTCGGAGGCCTGCCTGTTCAGGGTCCGAACTCTTCTCACCGCGAACGACTCACTCGAAATAGTATCTTTCATGTTACCAGAATCGCGCGCTCGCGCACATATGCTGCACGCGTCGCTGCTGCAGCAGCTGCTGCTGCTGACGCTGCTGCAGCAGCTAGAACAGGAGGACATAGTAGCAAGTCGCGCGGGGGTCGGGGGACGGTCAGGCACGGAACAATCTTCGCCGAAATCACCGATGGCGTTGAGCAGATGCGGCCGAATCACCGCCGCCGGCGATGCCGCCACCGCCGCTGCTGCTGCTTCCGCCGGCACTGGCGCCGCTACTCCCGCCGCGGTTTGCGCGTCACGAGGCAGCGACGAGGATGCAGGAGCGAGCGAAGAGGTGGAGTCGGAAAAGGCGGGCAGGATAGCGGTCTCTGCCAGCTCTGCAAGTGGCTGATTGCCCAACGAGACGACGTTGAGGGTGGATGGGCAGAGAACGTCGACGCACTCCCGCGAAAACCACTCGTGCTCCAAAATCTCGTCGATCGTGGGCCGTTGGTTCGGGTCCACCGACATCATCCGACGGATGAGCTGCTTCGGCGCGTCGCTGATTAGGCCCCATAACGGGTGGGTCCAGTCCTTACACTCGTCGAGCACGCGCTTGTTGTCTTTAAACTCGGGCCAATTCGCGGATAGCATCGCATATAGTAGCACGCCCAAGCTCCAAATATCCGCGGAAAAATCGTACTCCTGCGACGCGAGAACCTCGGGAGCTTCGTACGGGAAGCTTCCGACGCACCCCTTGACAGTGCCGCTATCGGGGATGCGCTTTGCGAGGCCGAAATCCGCCAGCTTCACGTCCCACTCGTAACCCCGAAAGCACCCGCATTCGAGACTCGGAGTCTCCGTAGAGGAGTCACTTTCTGTAAGCGCGCAGCCCGCGACAGAAATCGGCGAAGAGAGCGCGCGGAGGAGGATGTTTTCAGGCTTGATATCCCGATGCACGACGCCGTTCCCGTGGCAGTGCTTCACAGCTTCGGCGACGGCTCGGAACACGTCCCGAGCCTCACGCTCGGGAAGGCCGCTGCGCGTGGAGATCTGCTGGAAGAGATCGCCGGACGGGAGGAGCTCCATCAGCAGGAAGACTGACGTGGCGTCCTCGTATACGCTGTCGAGCTCCACGACGTTCTGGTGGCCACGTAGGCGCTGCATCGTCGAGATTTCCTGAAAAACGGCGTGGATTCGCCCGTTGGTGAGGCGCGCCTTCTTAATCTGCTTGCACGCGTAGTAGCGGCCCGAGACCCGCGACATGCACTTCCACACGCGACCGTACTGGCCCTGCCCGATGCTGCCCATGAAATCGAAGTTTGACTGCAGATAGGCCGCCGGGAGGAAGTCCGAGGAGAAGGACGATAGCAGGGTTGCTGGGTCGTAGTTGGATGCTACGGCGCTGTCGCCGCTGAGAGCGGGCGCCATTAATTATGTTAGGGACTTGCTGGCAAGAGGGAGGGGATCTACCGTGGTTCTACCGTAGCGATTTCGTTGCGAATGACGATTTTTCACTTGTTTCTATAAGAAAAACAGTGGAGAAGACTAGAAGAACGTCCCAGAGAAGTTCCCAGAGAAGCTCTCGGGCCCTCAAATTCGGCACACCAGAGAAGTTGCTGATTAATCGGAGGCACTATGCCAGCTTTTGATTAATGCTCCCTCGCAGTCTGGTCTGGGCATTTTGCGATACAGAAGCGCACGATTGGCCGAGGTGCATGAATCCATGCTTCAGTTCAGCAGCACCTGCTTGCCTTGCCCCTCCCTACCAATCGTCATCGTCGTCACCTCTCCTCCTCCCCAACCAAGAAAATCGTGCTCTGTCCCCCTCGGTCCCACCCAATCCCCCCCTGGCCAAACAATTCATGCCAGAGCGCGGTCAGCATTGCCATGGTAGCGAGCTGAATCTGGCTATCATCTCAATCAAGGGCAGCCGTGGATCTATCTGCCAGCTCCCTAGCATCAACCCAACTCCTCCAGTCCCGAAGTCCCTCCCAAATCCTGATATTATGTAAAGATCGACAACATCAATGCTGGAGGGATGCACCCGACAATCGAGGATGCCGCGTCGTGGTGTCGCAAGGGAGGGAGGTCGTCGTTCCCTGTCGTCAGCGTCCTTTCCCCGCTTCCCTCAGCGTGGGTGTTTTGGGCTAGGGGGAGTTGAGGGGGCTCAAAACAAGCGACGGGCGATAGGCGAAGGCGAGGCATGACCGTCCACCACACCCTCCACCTCCAAAACAAGTCCTGGTTCGGCAGCACAATGACGGCTCAGCTCGTATCGAATCGGATTAGCCCATAATCACTATAATGTTATACCTTTCGCTAATTATCCGAGATATATAATACGAGGGTCAAAAACATCTTAGAAGACAAGATTTCCCCTTCAGCTCAAGTTAAGCAATATTTCTGCATAGCCTTGAACTTGCCAACATGACAGCATCCATAACAGGCTGTGCTTCATACGTCATAAACTCATCAACATTACTAATAACATGATATGACCTATGCAACTGCATGCTACACCTCCATGTCTTCCAAAAGCTCATCTGTTCTTGGGCAAACACCAGTCACACTCTCCCCTATGCCTGAACTGTTTGAACCACCACCATTTCCTCTTGACCCATGGCTCAAATCAAATGCCGAGGGTCCCAGGAGCGACTCTAAAAGCGTCCGGGGATCCCCAGCTCCTCCGTAGCGCAACAAATGCGAGCGTAACAGTTCTCCCGCCTCTGGGTTGAGAGGGTCTTCTTCAAATAGCCGCCTCCATAGCTGTGCTGCGAAGCACTTGGCATAAATGTAGGTGTAGTAACCTGGAGAAGAGAGACGGACCAGGGTCAACAAAAAGATCCGCGTAATGGAGGGGAGGAGTGAGGGCGATGGGGAGTGGGAGCAGGGGGAGAGGAGAGAGGAAGAGAGACAGAGGAGGAATGATTGCTGTATGAAGAACAAGCAGGAGAAGCTGGGCAGCAATTGTGCAGGAATGACTGATGTATGATTGAGGAATGATTGATGTATGATTGAGGAATGATTGATGTATGAGTAGTGCAAGAGAGGAGGCAGGCGGCCTAGGCGGCCTACTCACCTGCGCCATAGGCAGTAAGGTGTGCGAAGCGCGACTGCCAGTACGTGCCAGGGACATGCGCCACCCCCATGTACCTTCCCATCAGATCGGCCATCACTGCTGTTGTGTCCCTGCCATTCCCACCACCGCCGCCACCTGCTGCTCCTGCTGCTATGGCTGCAGCAGCTGCTGGTGACGATAGCGAGGGTGATAGTAACGAGGATGCAGGGTGTGGGGGGTTGACCCCGAAATAGGCCTGATCCATGAGGGAGTAGACTACCTGGGGGAGGGAGGAGAGGGGATGCGAGGCAAGGGCTTTAAAGCTTGACAGACGCCTGTATTCCAACTTCAATTGGCAACACCACTCTTCACCGCTTGTCACAACTGGCCCATCACTCAGCAACGCCCCTCCTGCGAATGTGAAGTTGCACCAACTTTCTGCAAATGCATTTGCTTGCAGCACACCTGCATCTGCAGGTCAGAGACAGCTAGCATGGACTTAAAGGCCCTAAGAAACTGCACGAGGGAGCAGAGCATGGGTCTGTAAAAGCGTGCATGCCCCTGGGACTGCCATGCAGCTGTGAGAACACAACATACCTGCGTTTGGAGTCGACTCAAAACACGACATACCTGCGTCTGGATATCTAAGGCGTCTAGCATGGACTTAAGGGCCCATAGGGACTGCAGTGACTGTTGGGTCAACTGGAAAGTCATCTGGGAGAAGCCCTTTGATTCTGTGAAAGCGCACACATCGTTAGAGCCACACATACGGCTGTGAGAACACAACACACCTGCGTCTGGAGGTCAGAGGCAGCCAGCATGGATTTGGAGGCCCGCAGGGAGTCCACGAGGGAGCGTGGGATGGGGTCGCCTGTGGCGTGGTGCACCGCGAACTGGCCCAGGAAGCGATGGTCCCACACGAAGTACCTAGAACGAGAGGGGGGGGTTAGTGGAGGGAAATTTGCTGGGTGAAGTAGCAATCAAGTTATGGGGGAGAGGGCCGCCTGTGGCGTGGTGCATGCGAACTGGCCCAGAAAGCGATGGTCCAGGAGTGGTGGGAGGCATCCAGGAGTGCAGACGTGAGGGGAAGACGCCAGTGGTACCCGGCACGGAAGAACAGGGAGTAGAGAAGAAGTTATACCGAACTTGGCACGCTATGAATGACTTGGCGCAGCCAAGGGAGCAGCCCCAGAAGGAGCGGAAAAGCCAGAATGGTGGAAGCAACTTGGGGGTGAGAAAGGGGGCCTTGGATCGCAGGGTGTATGGGAGTGAGTGTTGCAGGTCTCTACTGGTACAGGTATCTAGTGGTGCAGATATCTACTGGTGCATGTATCTACTGGCGCAGGTGCCTATTGGTGCAGGTCTTTACTCACTCGAGCAGGTTGGAGGGCACTTCCACGAAGTCCAGTGCTGCTCTCGTTCCCGATAAATGCTGGAAAGCCTGTTGGGGAGGAATGGGAATGCGTGGAGGAAGGATGGCAAGAGACGGGAAGAGGAGGAAAGAGGGTTGGAGGAATGAACAGGAACGAGTGAGAGGGGCGCGGAAAGAGGGAGGGAGGGAGGGAGGGAGGGAGGGAGGGAGGGAGGGCAGCAGGGGGTAAGCAATGGGCAAGATGCCGAGCCCTTGAAAGAAGAAGAACTTCTGATCACATCTCCAACAAAAAACAAGCTCCCCCATCTCATCTCACCTCATCTCATCTCATCTCACCTCACCTCACCTCACCTCACCTCACCTCACCACAACTCACCTCACCTCACCTCATCTCATCTCATCTCATCTCATCTCATCTCATCTCATCACCCTCCCTTTCTTGCCAATCAGAGGAACGAGAGCACATGACGACTCAGTGCCTCAGCGTACATTGTGTGAGAGCAACGGACATCACATCACATCACATCACATCCCATCACATCGCATCGCATCGCAGCGCAGCGCAGCGCAGCGCAGCACAGCACAGCACAGCACAGCGCAGCACAGCACAGCGCAGCACAGCGCAGCACAGCGCAGCACAGCACAGCGCAGCACAGCACAGCACAGCACAGCACAGCGCAGCACAGCACAGCACAGCTCAGCGCAGCACAGCGCAGCACAGCGCAGCGTATCGTACGGTGCGCGAGAGCAGTGAGTGCAGTGCATGGCCGAGCTCGTGGAAGAGCGTCTCCACGTCGTGGTGGGCCAGCAGACAGGGCGAGGAACGTGACGAGGCGGCAAAGTTGCACACCAGAGCCACCACCTGGGGGGAGGGGGAAGAGAGGTGTAGGGAAGCATGGGGATACAGGGTGGATGGTATACTGCCTTTGGGAATGTGCTCACAGGCAGGGAGAGGAGCGCGGGGACGCCGTGAAGTTGCACACGAAAGCCACCACGTGAGGGGGGGTTGAGGGGGTGAAAGACATGGGGAGGAGGGGCAGATTATGTGCACTTGCTACAGGAGCTGAGTGTGTGTTGCTATGGGGTAGAAGGCACAGAGAGGAGTGAGAGGAAGTGGCGGAGTTGCACACCATGGCCACACGACCTGCAGAGGTGGGTGAGGGGAGGAGGAAGAGGAGGAGGATGAGGAAGCGGAAGAGGAGAAGGAAGAGGAAGAGGAGGAGGAGGAGGAGGAGGAGGAGGAGGAGGAGGAGGAGGAGGAGGAGGAGGAGGAGGAGGAGGAGGAGGAGGAGGAGGAGGAGGAGGAGGAGGAGGAGGAGGAGGAGGAGGAGGAGGAGGAGGAGGAGGAGGAGGAGGAGGAGGGGGGGGGGGGGGAGAGCGGCAGCAGGTGGCCCTTGCGGTCCAGGGGCAGCTACTACCATCAATGAACAACACAGCCCAGCGCAGCACAGCCCAGCGCAGCACAGCCCAGCGCAGCACAGCCCAGCGCAGCACAGCCCAGCGCAGCACAGCCCAGTGCAGCACAGCCCAGCGCAGCACAGCCCAGCGCAGCACAGCTCAGCGCAGCACAGCCCAGCGCAGCACAGCCCAGCGCAGCACAGCCCAGCGCAGCACAGCCCAGCGCAGCACAGCCCAGCGCAGCACAGCCCAGCGCAGCACAGCCCAGCGCAGCACAGCCCAGCTCACCGGCAATTGGTAGTCGTCACTGCTGCTGTTGTGGGAGGGCACGGAGAGCGGCAGCAAGTGCCCCTTGCGGTCCAGGGGCAGCTGCTTCCTTCGCCCGCAGCGGATGGTGAAGTGAGCTGCGTGCGAGAACTTGCCCCTACGGGGGTGCAGGTCCAGGTAGATGAAACCCAGGGGGCCCTGGCAATAGAGAGGGGGGAAGAAGGGCAGGGGGGGAGAAAAAGAGGTGGGGGGGGGGAGAGTGTGGGTTGGTGAAGTGAGCTGTGTGAAAAAAACTTGCCTCTGCGAGGTGCTGGTCCAGGTAGATGAATCCCAGGGGGCCTTGGAAACAAAGAAGGGGGGGGGGATGCGCGGAGGGCAGGAAAGGCGGGGGGGCGGTGGGGGCAGAGGGGGGAATGGTGAAGTGGGCGGAAGGAGGGTTGGAAGGAAGAGTGGAATGGGGAGTGAGTGTGGAGGGAGTGAGTCGCTCCCCAACAAAGAAGCTTGCTGCCTTCCCTCAGTGTGAGAGAAAGAGAGGGTGGGGGGGGGAGGGGGGAGGGGGGCAGAAGGGGGAACAACTGTGGGCTCTGGCAGGCTCAAGCCTCAGGAAATGCAATGGAAGACAGATACCACCACCGAATACCCCCTCACCTGCACCGGGTGAGTCAAGGAGTACTTTGTGACGTCTGGCGCCCAAACTTCTCCTGGCGACGTGGGCACTGGCTCTAGATGCACGTTGAATAGAGACTTCACTAGCAGCGCCATGCCACGCACACACGCGTGCAGAGGGAAGTAGGAGGATATGACCTGGAGGGGGAAGAGTGGGGGTGGAGGGTGTTTTGAGCTGGCCCACAACACCCAGATGCACGTTGAAGAGAGAGTTCAGTAGCAGAGCAGGGCCGCGCACAAACGCGTGCAGACGGAAGTAGAAGTAAGAGGAAATCCCCTGAGGCCCAGACATGGAGGTGTGTGCGGGTGGAGGCAGCACAAGCATCACCAGAAAATTGAGCAGCGGCAGCAGCAACAGCAGCGGAAAACTGCTGTACAGCAGTTTTGCATACCATTTCACAACTCGTCCTCTACCATATTCAAGCTAGAACCAACACACTCCCCTTTTCCTCGTTCTCCCCCCCCTCAGCACGCCTCACTCCCCACCCCACAACCCCTCCCCACCCCTCCCCATCTCTCACCGTCCCTCACCACCCCTCACCATCCCCCCTCACTCTTGAGTCGAGGTGGAATCGTCTGGCCTTGGCGAGCCCCGAGTAGAAGGACCGGTCCCACGCATGCAGCACAGACGGCTCGTTCCCACTGCCGCCGTCTCTGCTCGCGTCCCTCTCCCCCCTGTGCTGCCTCTTCAGCGCCCCTAGCTGCTGTAGCTCCTGTGGTAAGGAAACAGTGGAGGAAGATTCGAGCAAGAAAGCGGGTTGGGGCGAAAGGGGAGGGCGAAGGGGAAGGGGAGAAGGGAGGAGGGTGTAGAGATGGGGGGCTAGACCTATGGTTCAGGGGCTGGAAGAGCCAGGACCAGAGAAAATGCTCCCTGAAGCTGCCTAGTACCACAAGGATGGCTGTGGGGCAATGCCGTGGATTATGGCATTCCTGTAGGTGACTTCGATAGGCTCACTATGAAATGCCTAACCATAACACTCAGGGTTAGCGGCGAATATTCTGCTGCAATGCTGCCTGCCTCTAGTGTACCACACAGAGTGTCAGCTGAATTCTGCTTTTGAGTGTCGTTAGCCATGATCGAGACGACTCAAAAGCAGTGTCAGCTGAAGCACTGCAGCTGAGCCTGAAGCGCATAGAGCACTAGTTTCCGCACCTAGAGCACTAGTTTCCACACCTAGAGCACTAGTTTCCACACCTAGAGCACTAGTTTCCACACCTAGAGCACTGGATTCCGCACCTAGAGCACTGGTTTCACACCTAGAGCACTAGTTTCCACACCTAGGGCACTAGTTTCCACACCTAGGGCACTAGTTTCCGCACCTAGAGCACTAGTTTCCGCACCTACAGCACTAGCTTCCGCAACTAGAGCACTAGTTTCCGCACCTAGAGCACTAGTTTCCGCACCTAGAGCACTAGTTTCCACACCTAGAGCACTGGATTCCGCACCTAGAGCACTAATTTCCACACCTAGAGCACTAGTTTCCACACCTACAGCGCTAGCTTCCGCACCTAGAGCACTAGTTTTCGCACCTAGAGCACTAGTTTCCGCACCTAGAGCACTAGTTTCCACACCTAGAGCACTGGATTCCGCACCTAGAGCACTAGTTTCCACACCTAGAGCACTGGATTCCGCACCTAGAGCACTAGTTTCCACACCTAGAGCACTAATTTTCGCACCTAGAGCACTAATTTTCGCACCTACAGCACTGGATTCCGCACCTGAATCACTGTTATGCAGCGCATCTAAGCCCCATCGCCACCATACCTCGAAGAAGTGAGCAGTAGGCCCAGGCTGTGCTAGAAGGAGTCTTGCTTCAGGCATCTCAAACACAAACATCATGCGTGAGGAGTCTATTTTTGAGGCGCCTCAAAAATAGACTCCGAACACAAACATCACCGCACCTGGAGCATTATTTGTTCCACCTGAAGAGCTGTTAGGCCGTGCACCTAAAGCATACCTGGAAAAAAGAAGCTTTGGGCGAGAGCTGTGCTCTCCAAGTTGAGAAGAAAGAAGTTTCGTCCAAAACTTGATGCACCCCCAAACCACCACCAACAGCTGACGCACTAGACTCCTTACTTCAAAACGATACTTCAAAACATGGCTGAAGCATCGTTTTGTCACCATATCTGGAAGGCTTTGGGCGTGAGCTGTGCGCTCAGAATGTGCAGGAAGAAGCCTTGCTTGACGCACCCCAAAACAATGCCGCACACACCGCACCTGGAGGACTAGATTGCCTACCTGAAAGAATGTAGGCAGCGCATACCTGGAAGACTTTTGGTGTGAGCTGCGCGCCCAGGTTGTGCAGGAAGGAGTTGACCGTGTCTGGGGTCTTGGCCATGAGGGGCACGTTGATGAGGTGCGCGTATGAGGGGAAACTCAGCTCCTGGTGGTTGGGGGGGGGGATGGGAAGGAAGAAAAGAGGGCGATGATGTCGGGGGTCCTGGCCATGAGGGGCGCGTTGATGAGGTGCGCGTACGAGGGAAGAGTCAGCTCCTGGTGGGGGAGTGGGGGGTGGAGGGGAGTGGTGGGGAGGAGGAGGAGAGAGGAGGAAGGAATGAGGTGGAGAGGCAGGAATGCATTTCGGCCCATGTGCTGTTTGTGCGTCAATAAGGTGCGCATACGAGGGGAAACTCAACTTGCATTACATGTCTCGGCGTTTCAGAGAGGGGGGACACACGGGGGGCCATGATGGATTGAGTGCCGATTCCATGCGCATACGAGGGGAAACGAGGGGGAGGAGGAGTGCGGCTGAAAAGGGAGGGAGGGAGTGAAGACGAGCGGGAGAAGAGGAGGGTTCAAAGCTGACAGAGAGAGTTGCTGAGATCCAGGGGAGGAGCCAGAGGTGGGAGGAGGAGGACGAAATGGCAGGGAAGGGGAACGGGCGGATGTGGTGGGGTAATGGGGAGAGAGAGGGGGAAGAGGAGGAGGTGTTACCTTGGCAAGTTGAGAGCGCAGGTCGATGAGTCGGTCTAGTTGGTGCAGGTTGGATCCAGGGGAGGCGTTGGCCAGCACATACACGCGCCGACGCACCTGGCAGGATGGGATGGGAAACACCAAAGGTTGACGGGATTGGATGGATGGCACCAAGGGACGAGGCAGCAAGTGTGGGGGCAAGTTGAGTAGGGAAAGCAAAGGGGGGAGGGGGGGTGGGGTGACAAGAAAAGAAATGGAGAGGGAAGGTTACGCACCTCCTCGTCATCCACCCATTTGAGCACGGAGGACGTAACCAACGGGTCTGAAAACACCCGGTAACCAAGGTCCTTGGGCGCTCCAGAATTGGTACCGCTGCTGCTGCCGCCGCCGCCGCTGCCGCTGCTGCTGCTGCTGCTGCTGCTGCTGCTGCAGCTAGCATTGCCCCCATTACCCACTTTCTCCCTGCATTCTGCTCCCTCTCCGTCGTTACTACTGCTGCTCGCAGTGGCACCAGGTCCTGGCCTACTGGTGTCTGTACAGCTGCCAGCACTGTTATCGGCAAACGAGCCGCCCGTCACAGCATCACTATTGAAACTACCGCTACTCCTACCACCATCACTGCTGCTCCTACTGCTGCTGCTGCTGCCACTGGTGGAGGTGGCCTTGCTGCGCTGGATGGGTTGCAGCATGGCGTGCACGTTGGGGGGGAGGGCGTGCAGGGAGCTGCGGGGAAAGACCTCGATGGAGGACGAGTCAGAGTGGATGTTGGCGTTGAACCTGGCAGAGAGAGGGGGGGGGAGAAGCGGAGAAGGAAAGGAGGGGAGGAGGGGAACGGGGAGGAGGGGAAGGGAGCAGGGGAAGGGAGGAGGGTAAGGTGGGCGGCAACGAGATACTCTTCTGAGTGCGCAGCGGGAGGAAGCTGCAAGGAAAGACCTCGATGGAGGACGAGTCAGAGTGAAAGTTGGCGTTGAACCTGGCAGAGCGGAGGTAGGAAGTGGGTTGAGTGGCCTCAGGAAACACCTTGGCAGAGGCAGATGCAGATGCTGCGTCTGAGTGAATGTTGGATGGAGCAGGGATGGTAATGGAGAGAAGCAGCAGGGATGAGAACCGAGAGAAAAGCAGGGATATTGTTACTCCCTCCATGTACACAATCTTGCGCCCTCTCTCACTCACCCACCCTTGTCCTCTCTCACTTACTCTATTGAGGTGCGGGTAATCTCTCCCGTCAGTCGCTGCACCTCCTCCCTGCGATCTGCTCACAGCCACACATCCAAGAGAAAGAAGAAGAAAGCCCGGGAAAGGGGGGGAATGACCGGCGAAGGGGAGAAGGGGAGGTGGCAGACTGAAACGAGGCGGGATTGAGAGAGGTAAACCGAACAGGCAGCAGCACTGAAAGACGCTAGCATCACCATCAGGGATATGCCACTCCCTTTCTCACAGTGCCGGGCAGGGCAGTCAGAAAAACGAGCACCAAACCACCTTAACTCTTCAGCATCACCATCAGGCAGCAGGCGCAAGCCCCCTTGCACAAAGTCCAAGAGTCGCAACTCAAGCACCGGCCCCTAAACCCTAGAATCCAACCCTAGACCCTGGCTCCTAACCCTTTCCCTCACCATCCGGCAGGTGCACGCCCCCTCGCTCAAAGTCCAGCCGCAGCAGCTGCGCCACCCGATGGGCCTCCCGCAACACCTCCTCCCGCTCGCCCCCCCCAGCCCTCCCAGCCCCCTGCTGCTGCGACTGCTGAGACTTCCCGGCGGGCGGCAGAGAGGAGGGCGAGGTGGAGGCGGCGGGCGGCATTGCTTGGATGGCAGCGACTAGCAGGCGGTAGAGCTGCTGGTTGGAGTTGAGGGCCTGGGGAGGGGAGGGAGGGGCAAGGGGGAGAGGAAAAAGAGGGGAGAGAAAAAAATGGGGAGAGAAGGGAGTGTTGCAGGGAGAAGGGAGTGTTGAGTCAACTCAGAATCTGTATGACTAGCAGACGGTAGAGCTGCTGGTTGGAGTTGAAGGCATGGGGAGGAGAAGGCGTGGGGAGGAGAAGGCGTGGGGAGAAGGCGTGGGGAGGAGAAGGCGTGGGGAGGAGAAGGCGTGGGGAGAAATGGGATGGGGTGGGTCACGAGTGACACACACGAGCCACCTAGACTAGGAGGCGCATTGCTTTTTGAGAATTCTCAAAAACCAATTCAGCTACATGATATTCCACGTGGACTGGCGTGATACACTGCAGTACAGGTCATATGCCCTGAGAGCGACTTCCTTTTACGCCCGGGAGTATCTCATAGGCATTTTATCCTTAAGGACCTCTCCTTGTAAGCAAAGTGTACCCGTCTCAACTGAACAGTAAATATGACAGTCAAGTCGGATGATGTAAGACCGTCCAATCATTTTCTCCTGTGCTTTCAGAGCGACCACGCCTAGTGGTCGGCGAGCCTCTGAAAATCCAGATGTGTCAGGCTCGCCAACCAATGTCGAAAAAAAAAATTCCAGCAGATCGCTGACGGTCCAGTAGGATTACGACTGCAAACCACAACCAATAGGAAATAGAAAATCCGTCAAACCACAACCAATAGGAACGCACCCAAGAGCGCGTCAATGAATCTGTTATTATTTTGAAACCAGGCCTGTGGAAGTGAGGGCAATTACACTGCTTCGTCAAGAAAAACAGGGTGAAATTTCGACGCCCGAGTATTGAGTAGGGGATGGACTTACCCTGAAAATTTTAATGTAGAAGTTCACACCCCTACAAATGGCTCCCCTGTCATTGTCAGGAGTGGCACATTCTGATCAGGGCGAAACTCATGCCTGCAAAAACAGTCAAAAGTTTAGAGCTACCCAGCCAGGAAGTCTTGGGCAAACTCGGATTACGCTGGGTGACCCCTAGGTTATCGAGGGACCAGCTTGAAACGCGAAGTTGATACACAGGTGGAGAGACTTGCGACGCTGCGACGTTTCCTCAATCGCTGCATACGCCAGTCAAGCCGCCCATGCACAGTACACAAAAAACACCGCCCCATTTCCTGGGAAAATCCTTTAGTCCACGTTGCCCCTACCGTACGGCCCGTATTCGTTGTAAGCGAAATCTCTCGCGTCGCCCCCCGGGCTCTCAGGGCATATGACCTGTACTGCTGCTCTCATGCCAGCACCGCACCGCACCGCACAGCCCACGGTCCAAAGCACCGCAACCCAGGGCTCACCTGCACATACGTTGACAGCTTGACGAACGCCTCGTTGGCGGCTTCCACAAACTCCCTGCATGCAGCACAATGCAGCCGCAGTCACTGTCAGCATGCACCTTGTAGTATCAGTGCGTCACAGTGCAGGCTCACACACTCGGCACAAGGGTCGCCATATAGCAGTGCGTGAGTTACACAAGCAGTAGTAAGCCATGGGCAGTAAAGCCATGGGCACTTGATACCACCCCAAAAGCAAACATCACATCAGGACAACATTCAGGATAGAAGGTGGGAAGTGTGCTTGCCTGTTAGGGTGCACGTTGCGACAGAGCTCTGCTGCGTCTAGTACTCGACACAGCTGGTTGGATTGGGATGGGGGGAGGGAGAAGAGAAGGACAGGAGGGGGAAAGAGGTGGCAGGAGAGGGTGGGGGGGAGAGAGAGCAGGTGCGGGGGGGATGGTAGCCAGATGAAGAGAGATGGAGAAGGGAAGAGCACCTACACTTAGACTTGAGCATTTTACCCCGTCAGGTCGCGGGTACCCGACCCGACCCGACATTCTGGCCCGGTCGGGTAATAGGATTCCCTGTACCCGGCCGGGTTGGGTCGGGTACTTTGGCCGGGTAATGCATACCCGGTACCCGAGAATTACCCAAAAGGTCGGGTAATTCGTTACCCGTCGAGTCGCAGGTACCCGACCCGATTCCAGGTCGAGAGATTACCCGACAGAACCCAGAGCGACATTTTCCGCACTGGTTGGGAAATTTCGACCATAAGGTCCAAATTTCCCGCTATTTTTTTATTTCGCAGTTGCGATCTACCTAAGCCCACCCTCAGATGCACCTAGGAGCATTCCGCGGCTGGCCTTCTACAAACCGCTCCTAGTTTTTAAGGAAAGATATTGGAACGAAATAGGCAAAGGACGACTCGGTGGCTTTTTAGCTGCCACGCCCAAACGACTTGCATCATTCCCCTAAAACACAAAACAGCAGTGGCAGGACTTTGAGACACATTCTCAGTCAGCAGCTTCTACCAAAAAGTAGCATTTAATGGTGACTTTACAGCCATCTAGGGGTAACCGGGTAATAATACCCGACTTCAATTAAAAGCGGGTCGGGTATACCCGACCCGCCACACGGGTATCCAATTACCCGGTACTAAAAAGCCGGGCCGGGTAATAGACCTCCAGAGATTACCCGGAAATTACCCGACCCGTCCTGACCCGGACCCGACCCCGGGTAGGGCAAAACTGGGTCGGGTCGGGTAATTACCCGGTTTTGCGCATGTCTACCTACACTGCCCTTCCAGCCACCTACACGGCCCTTCAAGGCACGTACATTGTCGCTCATCTCGTCCAGCAGGCACACGGTGCGCAGAGACGGCGGCGCTGCCGCCACCTCCCGCAGCAGAGCCTCCGTTCTGGCAGCACACCGCGGGAGAAGGGGGGTAGATACGGCGGATGGGAAAGGTAAAATTGGGGGAAAAGGGGGGGGAGAGAAACAGAGACGGTGCAGCTGCTGCTGCTACCTCCCGCAGCAGAGCCTCCGTTCTGTCAGCACAGCGCAGCACAGCAAGCACGGAGGCTCTTGCCCACACATACACACACGCACACACACACACACCCACCTGGCGATGGCGTCAGCAGCCATGCGGTGGAAGCCCCTGGGCTCGCTCAGCTCCTCGTACCCAAACAGCCAAGGGGGAGGCGGGTGAAGAGGGGAGAGGGAGGAAGAGGGGGAGAGAGTCAAGCAAGCGCAAGCACCCACCTGGCGATGGCGTCAGCGGCCATACGGTGAAATCCCTTGGGCTCGCTCAGCTCCTCGTACCCGAACAGCCCCGTCGCGGCGTTCACCCGCCGCACCTCAACTCCCGCCATCGCCCCCCCGCTCTCCGCCACACTGCTCGCCGCACTCCCCGCCGCATTCCACGCCGCACTTCCCGCCAGACCATTGATAGATCCATAGGAGCGTCCGCCTTTACCAGGCAAGTAGGAAACCACACCTGCTCTCGCGTATCTTCTTCGCACCGATCCTCCCGCCGCAGATCTCAGGCCCCATGCCGAGCCTGCTGCCGAAGCAGCTGACGAGCGTACTCCCGAACCTGTTGCCGAGCCTGCTACATCCCCAGATCTAAAATCCGCGTCCGAACCAGATACCGAACGTGCACCCGATCCAGCTCTAGCATCCTCCAACAAACCCCTCACCGAACCAGCTCCTAGGCTAGACCCTGATCCAACTGCCGTCGCCAGTCCCGAGCCTTCTCGCCGAGGCTGAATCGAAGATTCGGCATGATTCGACCCAGAAACGAGCCTCCGCAGAGGAGCGGAGTCGCCGCCACAGCCGCGCTGGTAGTTTTGGCGGGAAGCGGCGGCGATCACGTGCGAAACGAGGGACGCGACGGGCTTTCGTCGATGCATGACTACTAGGCCGCGTCGTCGCCCTTCGCAAGCGGCAGCGGTCCGGCTAAAAAACGCCGCGGATCACTGAAGCAGTACCGGCAGCGTAATGGCTGATGCCATAAACAGACGAGCTTGGACCTCCGCACGGGTCTGCGCCTATAAACAGCAGTTGTAGGAGGCTGGAGCAGTGCCGGGATCACTTCTGCTCTTCAACCTGCACAGACAGACATCTGCTGCTGCACCTGGGGTGCCTGGATGGAGTGGTGTGGTGGAGCCGTGGTGATTTCGTTGCCCAGCCACGACACTCGTGGCGGTGAAACCAGGCTCGTTCCTATTGAACGATTCAGCGCGGAAAAAATTAGCTGAATTAGCATTAGTTGGATCGGATGATAACAGGTCTCCACAAATAGCTCATGTACAAAATCCACAACATGATTTATTGCAACGTTACGCTTCTAAAAAAATAGCTCCATGGATTAATATTTCCATTCTAGCACCCAGCGTTTTCCAGCGACGGAAGATGGAGAAACTGTTGCAAAAAAATGAGGTGGTTACATTGTTATTGGAGGTCGTGAGTTCGCAACCATCGCTGAGGGAGCAGCCGTGAGGCCAGGGTTGAGCGAGGCTGTGGAAGAGGCAGCATCATTCGTGCAGCAGTATGACCTTGGGATTGGTGGGATGAGCCACCACCACTAGCATTCGTAGTAGTAGAGCTACTAGAAACGCCTAGGGCCATGGCGGCAAGCCGTGCTTCTTCACGAAACGACAGACGCTGGGTAGGGCAGCTACAAAGCCATGGATCTGCCAGTACTTCGTCGATCGTCGGCCGTCGATTTGTGTCCGCGAACAGCATCCGACCGATGAGAGTCTTCGCCCGGTAAGACACGGACATCCAGCATGCCATCTCCCAGTCCTTAGACGAATGTCGACCGTTGATCACCGTGGGCCAACTGCCGGAGAGCATCGCAAAGAGCGTCGCGCCAAGACTCCACACGTCAGCCGAAAATGAGTAATTCTTTCCCGCCAAAACCTCCGGTGCAGCATACGGAACACTCCCCACAAATCCCTGAGTGCGTTGCCACTGCTTCACGACCACCGAGCTCCCGAAATCCGCGAGCTTCGCAACCAGTTCTGTTTCCCGCGCGTCGGCTTGTGGCAGAACAAACCGGTCCTGGCCGGGTTGTCGCGGCGATGGAGGAACGTTGGGAGACAGCGGGCCGGTGGGAGAGGGAGGGTTGCTCGGCCCAGCAAAGTCGTATTGGGTTGGATCACCCGTCGCATATGCTTGGGAAATCCAGCAGGGTGTATTTGACGAGGGCGACTGAGGGGGGTTGTAAAGGGATTTCGGAGCTTCTTGTAGCGGGGATGCAGCGGCATCATCCGAGGCGGCCGTTCGCGGGAAGAGAAGCACGTTGTCCGGTTTGATATCGCGATGCATGACGTTGCGATCGTGGCACTCCTTCACTCCTTCCGCCAAACCCCTGAAGAGCTGCCGCGCTTCCCACTCCGGCAAAACGCCGTGCTCTTGCACGAGCCCCAGAAGATCCCCGTTAGTAGCGAGATCCATGATCATGTACAGGGCGTTGGATTTAGGGTTACGGAAGACGGCATGGAAGGAGATGACGTGTCTGCATCCGGCCATGACGGAAAGAGCGCGGATCTCGTTGGCCGCGGCTCGCAGAGCGTCCGGCTGCCCCGAGACGCGCTTGCACGCGAAATCTTTTCCCGTCGCGCGATGCGTGCATCGCCTGATCATCCCGAATTTTCCGGTTCCGAGCTCCTCGTGCATCTCATACTCGGCAAGGAGCTCCTCGACAGGACGAAAGGTAGTCATGGTGAGACGAGTTCACAGGTTAGAGAACGGCTGTGGATCGACGAGTTGGGTTGGCGCGTGGTCGTGGATAAGTTTGCTGATGTGATAAGTATGGGAGCCTGAACGAACTAGTCAAGATGGTGATGAATGGCAGACGAGAGTTTTGATGAGTGAGCTAACGAAAGAAGTGAAAAGGGCTCTTGGATGAGCGGGCTTAGCGTGCGCTTGTGGCTTCCGAAAGCAATACGAAGAAAACCAATGCCAGGTTCAATTATTGCAGGGGGTTTATGCTGAACCTGGGAAATATCTTGGCCTGAGCGACACCTAGCAGGCTCAACTACAGTATCCCGATCTCTGGTCTTGAGTGGTGGCTTGGGGGGAGGAGTGGGGTGGGGGAGTTTGAATCTTGAATCTTGAATTTTGACGCCAACGAACGAAATCGCAAGACGGAACAGGCAACCCAGCCAGGGAAAGACTTCTGGTCAAACCTCAAGATGCAGCGTTGATCTCTTCGCTGACCTAGTCAACGATATTGCTGCACGCCAATGATTTCTGTTTGACGACTGCTTGGGCGCAAGCCCTCGAATGTCGGCCCGCCAGCGTGATGGAATGCGGTGGTGCAGTGCAGAGGTGGAGCTCTCCGCTCCGACCACCTGGCTGCGCAAAATTCTGTTGTGCTGGGAATGGCGTGCGGGATGAGGTGTTGAGTGCACATCAGCAACTGATGTCTGTGCGTATGATACCGCGTCGAGTCACTTGACCCGAGGAATCGACGCGGCTTGTGTCAGGTTCGTAATCGTCGCTGACACGCACTGTACCAGGTCTGGCCCTCAACGAAGCTCGCGTTTTCCCTACACGGCCGGTTTGCGAACCTTTCCTCGTTTTCCGTCGAGCCGAGGATGGCTGTAAATATCAGGCCGCGTTCTGAAGTTTGGCCGAACTTTGAAGTTTTGCCAACCGACTCGCCACGTCGGCATTGCACATTGCAATGTTTGGCCGTGCGCTTCGAACTTTGGCCAACCAGCCCCTACCACACATTGCCGGCCAGAATTCGTGCGATTGGGACCCACGAACAGTTGCGACCAAGGGCGAAACCTGGTTTCTGCATACTTGGCCGGCCACGCCAAAGAAATGTGACGTCGACCAAGCCACAAAATCAGCACCAACCTGCCCAGCGCGCGAACAGCCGTCAAACTGAGAATGCTCCACCCTTCCTCACCAAAGCCTTCATCAACACCCCAACCAGAAGGAGATGGCCTTAAAAACCGCGTGTAAACGTCTTCGAGTTGCATATCTTTGGTTGGAAGATCCGTGGAAGTGCTGCCTGAAAGCCAATCCCGTCTTGCCACCTAACCAACCTACCTTTCGTTGAAATGCTTGGCACAATGGTTTTAACGTTTTATTCTGGTGGAAATTTGGTGATTTGTTTTTCAGGACAACTTTCCCAGAATTATCTGGAAGTTGGCCGTCAGGTGTCGCAGTCCTCTGCGACCAGGTAGTGTTCAGTCGCATATCGTTCTGCGAATCGCCTGTCGATTTGATTTGGCGCGATGGGGTTCCGTTCGCAAATGTCGCAGCCTGGTCGCCTAGTTTTTCGCAGAAAGGTTGGCCAAAGTTCACCTACCACAACTTTTGCCAACCAAAACCTCAAACTTTGGCCAAACTTTCGCTGACGTGGCGAGTCGGTCGGCCAAACTTCAACTCGGCCAAACTTCAGACCGCACTCTCAGGAACAACACTCCCCGCAGAAAGGTCAGCCAAAAGCAGATTTACCGAAGTGTATCGTTTTCCATCGCTCAAAGAATCGTGACGCCTTGATGTACCGTTTTGAATCGTGACGACTCTGCAAGGTTAGGGGCGATTCACTTAGGGCGGGTCCAAATAATTCATACTCAATTCATTTCGTGAAAAGTAACCCTATTTTAACCTCGTTTGGATTTCGCAAGGACACGCGCGCGAAATTGACGTAACTCGGGACGCTCGATGTTATGAATTATAACTCAGAGTATAGCGCAGAATACTATAAGGGAACGTGATTACAATGTTCTACTGAGTAATGAGACCTAGGGCTTATATAGTGCGAGTTGATCAGGTTGAAATGTCGAGGGTTGGATCAGTCAAGGGCTCGTTCGTCCGAGGGTGATGGGGTCACAATGGGTTCGGCGCAACTCGGGGTCAGGTTGGGGCCGAAAAGGTCGACGGGGGCTGGTTTGGCGCGATAACCAAGGGCCGAGCCTGCGGACCCGCACTGTTCGCGGTACTCGCTGTGGCGAGCCTCAGTAAGGAATCGTAATTCCTTATACTCTCCCACCTTCTAAAAGAAAGGCACTCCCTTTATCAAAGTCGAACCCTTTATCTAAATTAATCGCCGAAGTGACTGTAAGTCTTCAGTTCTGTGACGAGCATAATGATTACACCGGCCTGACGAGGTCTTGAGGCCGAAATGAAATCGATGGTTAGAAAGCGTCGAAACGATCGCTTTTAATATTGGCCGTCGAAGATGGTCGAACTCTTCTGGTGACCAAATGGGCAAGGGTAAATACTCCAGCGGAAAGACAATGAACAGTGAAAACGTCGAGTGGTCGATTGATGATGGCGCCTGGCGGCTGAATTTCTTGAAATGACGACGGGCGAAGAACGTGATGGTCGATGAAAATGAATAACCCGTTCGTCAAATGCGATGTCGTTCGAGTCACATGCGAGAGCACGCATCCGTGTCCCACAAAATTCAGCGAACTTCATCAACGAAGTGACGAAATCAAGCGCGAATGCGTAACGATGACGAATGTCGGTCGAAATTGGTTAATGGAACACGCCGGAAAGGTCGTCAGAAAATTGCAGCACAGCTGCCCTTCTCCCCCCTCCAAAAGAAAACAGCTCCCAATTTCCCAGGTAGATCTCCAGAAAACCCAATGCCCAAGGGACGTTGAAATAATCCCACACTGCCGCTGAAAATTCCGCAACGAATGCTTGAGAAGACTCCCGTACGAACTCTTCTTCTTCTTCTTCTTCTTCTTCTTCTTCTTCTTCTTCTTCTTCTTCTTCTTCTTCTTCTTCTTCTTCTTCTTCTTCTTCTTCTTCTTCTTCTTCTTCTTCTTCTTCTTCTTCTTCTTCTTCTTCTTCTTCTTCTTCTTCTTCTTCTTCTTCTTCTTCTTCTTCTTCTTCTTCTTCTTCTTCTTCTTCTTCTTCTTCTTTTTCTTTTTCTTTTTCTTTTTTGTTTCCAAAAGTCAAACACTGCTTGCGAGCTGGCCCCAACACAGCTCCAAAGTACTGCTGCTAAATTTCATGTAAATCCGATACTGCTCCTGATGGGTGGCGATGATGCGGTGGGGTCGTGTTTACACTGTCAGGCAAATTGAGAATGGAGGTGGTAGCGGGTAGTGGCGAGAGGCTGACGACGAAGATGATGACCTGTGATCTGTACCGAACCTCTCCCGTGAATATCCTCGAACATAACCTGATTTCAAATGACGCCAGCTGCATCAGCTTCTTTGTCCGTACACGCCGAAAATTTCGGGAAGAGCCGAAACTGCTACTGCTCCCTCTCTGCTTCATATAACCAAAACACTCCGCAAATGTCGGTTGATGTCGCTCGTACCCCTAAAGATGGCGGGCACAAATCCAGCTGTAAACTCTTGAGCTGCTCCTCAAACGCGCCGAAAATGTCGGAACCACTTGATACGTAGTAAATGCCGTAACTCTGCTTCACAATTAACCGTCAAAATGCCCAGGCGTGACAGCGTCCTTTAGCAGCGCCCCCACGGTTTCTCCACAAGCTGTACGCATGAACTGAACCCTTTATCTTAGGGTTTACCAGATTCCACCGCCTCGGTATGATGTTTTGGCCGTCGATCAGGGTCAATGCACATCATACGCCGTCGATCTCCTCCCAGCTGTTACCCAACTCTAAAATACTTCGGTACCCCAGTCCAGCTGGCCGTGCAGACGTTCACCCATCTCGTGACTGCTGCAGGTGACCCAAAAACCGCTTCGCTGCTGCTTAACTAACTAGGAGAATCCGTAGAGATAGGAGTGCGCACGCTTCTAGTCAGAGGAGCTTTAACGAGCTCGCCTACTGACTGCTAGACAGCTCCCGCCTCCGTCGGAAACTCGTCCAACTACACCCGCAAAAGTCGGAACCTCCTTCTGCTGCACCAGGTAAACTCCCTCAGCTCCACTACAACAGTAACTCCTAATTTTTCGGGGACACTCCATCAGCACAGTGTAGTTTGCAGGTTCACCCCCCTTATTCGTCCAGATGCCGTCGATTAATAAGTCGACACTGCTACCTGGTGGGAATGGTGATTTTAGGGTGACTTAGCTGAGCGAGTAGCAGCCAGAACGCCGCTAACCCATCTGCTCTAGTACTCCCGTCGTTCTTCTCCACTGCTTCAACTCCTGACAGTTAACGCATTCACCAACCGGTGGAAAACACTTAATACACACCCAGGGGTGGTGGCCTCCATTTCCGTTGATCCTGGGGGTATGAATCGCTGGTCCACGAAAAAACGCCTCCCCACGGGGGAAGTCGCCCTCACTGAGTACACTCACTCCAGCACAGCTTCATCACCTCCAGGCCGTCGTAGTGTATAGCGCCGAGGTCGTTAATCTCAACCGCTCCCACACAACTGCACACCCACACAACTTCGTGCGATCGTGTCGTTCCGAATTTGTCGGATCCGCCCATTGCCGAAATAGCGTCAAAGTCCTGTCCATCGCCTGCAACTAGCCTGCCAGAAACGCCGGGACCCGCGACACAGCTACAATTTACCCTGCCGCTGCATGGCGTGCCAAACGTACATCGCCGTACATCCCGTCATTTTCGCCACCCCGCGCGCTCCTGACAACCAACTCCCGGCCGCCTGAGGACTCCCGTGCACTTGTCTCCTCATGACAAAGCCTTCGCTTTTGTCAGAAGCCAATCCGAAGACTCCGTACGAACACACGAAAATTACGAAAGCTCTAACGAACATACCCGAAAAAACACGGCGAAAACGTCGTCCACTCTTCGACGGTAAATAATTCCGTCTACGACCAGGGAAGGGGAGGACCGGCCAATCCCAGCCGTCCATCGGACACGATCTAACGGCATCAGCGACACCCGCGCAATTAATTTCCGCGACGTCCGCTCGCCATCAGAATCCTTCCGCCCCCTTCCCCGATAGGGTCTGCTCCCCTACCGGAAACCTAATGGGCAGGAACGTAGCTCTGATACCAGCTGTTATGAATTATAACTCAGAGTAAAGCGCAGAATACTATATAGGGCCCCTCGCGCCCTAGCCAGGCCCCTCGCATTCCAGCCGGCCCCTCGCACCCTAGCCGGCCCCTCGCGCCCTAGCTGGCCCTTCGCGCCCTCGCCAGCCCCTCACGCCCAACCAGCCCTTCGCGCCCAGCCGCCCCCCTCGGGCCCTAGCCGGCCCCTCGCGTCATCGCCGTCCCCTCGGGCCCTAGTCGGCCCCTCGCGCCCTAGCTGGCCCCTCGCACCCTAGACGGCCCCTCACGCCGTCGCCGGCCCCTCGCGCCATAGCCGGCCCCTCACGCCCAAGTCGGCTCCTCGCACCGTCGCCAGCCCCTCGCGCCCAGCCAGCCTCGCACGCCCAGCCGGCCCCTCGCGCCCTAGCCGGCCCTTCGCGCCCTAGCCGACCCCTCGCGCCCAGCCGACACCCCACGCCCAGCCGCCCCCTAGCGCCCTAGCCGGCCCCTCACGCCCAGCCGCCCCCCTCGTGCCTAGCCGGCCCTTCGAGCTTAGCCGGTCCCCCTTCTAGCGCCGCAGCCGGTCCCTCAACTGCCTAGCCGGCCCCTACCGCCTGTCCGGCCCCTCGTGCGCCTCGGCCCCCTTGCGCGCCCTACGGCTCCTCGTGCGCCCGGTCCCTATTCCAGTGAGTCTTGCCCCCATGTCGCTGTATTGCCGTGCAGCTGAGTACCTGTGCCCCAGTGCCGCTGCCCCGCTGTGTCCCTGTGCCCCTGTAACGCTGTGTCCCGGTGCCGCTGTGATTTCGTGATGGCGGACACCATGCTACGTCTGGATGCGGAGGGGCACGCGATCGACTTCGGCGCCTGGCTTGTTGATCTTCGCCGGCACCTGACAGGTCAGCGCTAGGATGGGCACTCCCTGGCTATGCATGTTGATGGCTTGCTTACCCGCCCCTCCGCGCCTGATCCCCTCCCTGCTGACCCCACCATTGCTAAGAGTGAGTCCTTTGCTGCTACGGCACTAACTCGCGCTGTCTGGGATTCTCGCGATGCTGTAGCGCAGCTTGCCATTAGTCATTCACTTCCCTTTTCTGAGCGTCCGCGTTTCATTGCTATCGTGAATGCCAAAGACTTCTTAGATGCAGTAGTTGCACGCTACTCCACGCGTGCCTCCACCTCAGCTGGACACCTGATCCTCCCCATGCTCTTCCACGATCTCTCTGCTTTCCCCACTATCGCTGATCTCGCCACTCACCTCCGTGCACTAGAGACTAGCCATCGCGCTACTAGCACTACTGCCTAGCTCAATGCCTTCCCCCCTCCGTTCTGTGCTACCCTGTACCTTATTGCTATGCACCTGCCCGACCGCTTAGCTACTGCACGCGAACACTTCCTTAGCCAGCACCCTGGTGACCTCACCCTGACCGTTTTTGTCGCTGCCCTTTCTGAGATAGAGACTCGCCAGCGCACTATCGCTCAGTCGAGCGGTGTTGCGGCAGTCCCTATCTTTCAAGGTTGTGCTCCCTCCCAGTGCACGTACGCTGACGTTTCTACTGCGGTCGCTACTGCTGCTCATACTGCTGAGACCACAGCGGCGGCATTTCCACAGCAGCAACGACAACGTCGGGGCCGTCGTGGCCCCAAGGGAGGGCGTGGTGGTGGTGGCGGCGATAGTGGTTCCGACGAGGGGGCTGGGGCAGTCGTCCAGGAACAGCAGCAGCTGCAACAGCCGCATCAGCAGCCGCAGCAGTAGCAGCAGCCACAGCAGCCGTGGGCCCACCTCCCACCAGGGTGGCCAGGAGCCCCTGGAGGGGGTGGCCAAGGTGGCGGTCCTCGCAGCTCGTCTTCTACCGGCGGCTTCGGTGCTGTGGGCTGCCTATACCAGCTCCAGACCGGGCCCCTCCACGGCACTGTGGGCCGTCGTCCGCAACTGATCGCCCGCTGCTTTCGCCGCCTCTACGACCTCTTCCGTCGCCGCTTCGGCCTGGCCCGGGACCTCCCTGACTGGCCCAGTCTGCTGCGCCACGGTGTGCCTGTTTTTGAATTAGACATGGATCAGATTAGTTCTGCCTTGCATTCTCTGTATGCTGACGCTTCTAGTGTGTCCGGATAATATTACCCTGTGTTCTCGCGTAGCACATGTGTGTAGTACAGAGACCCCTGCAGCGTCATGCATACGACCGTTTGCTTTGCCTAGTCCGGCGCGTCTGCCTGCTTCTTCCACAACCACGCTGCACTTACGCCGCTTGCCACGCCAGCCGCTGTCTCACTTGCTGACCCCTCCTCTGGTCTTGTAGTTGCTCGCAGCTACACTACCCTTCCCTGTCAAGAGATCCCCTCGAGTTCCCTTACAGGCCTGCACATACCCTCGTTCTCCCGGAACTTAGTCGTTGTCAGCTTTCTTCAGAACCTTAGCGTCACCACTACGTTCCCAGGTCACGAGCAGTACGCCATCTGTACCGAGGCCTCCTCAGGTTCCCCCCTTGCGACGTTCCCCCGGGACCTGGTGTATGGCCTCTTTACGCTGGACACTGCTTCTCCCCTACTGGGCGCGTCCTCCCCGAGTCCTGCGTCTACCCAGGTCGCCGCTGCATGCTCGTGTCGGTCGCTCACTCACCCGTCGCTTCTGTGGCACCACCGCCTAGGTCACCCTGCGCTCTTGCGTCTGCGTCACATGTCCCAGCACAATCTCGTCCCAGGTCTCCCTACGTCACTTCCTACCCTCCCTCCCTCGCATGCGCCGCCGAGCACACCCTGCGTCGAGGGCCGGCTCCGCCGGGCTCCTCACTCCTCGCTTCGTCCTGCTACCGCACCCCTCCTGACCCTCCACCTGGACGTCTGGGGCCCAGCCCCAGTCCCTGGACCGCGTCGCGAGTGCTACTTTCTAGTGCTCATTGACGACTACACGCTCTACACCTCGGTGTTTCCCTTGGAGCGGAATGCCGACGTGCCCGACGTTATTATCCCATGGGTCGTAGCTGCGCGCCTCCACCACGGTCTCCCTATGCTGTGTCTCCACTCCGACCGTGACGGCG